GATTGCCCAACCTTCCGAGGAGTGGCTGGTGAGTTTGAACCGCCAGCCTTCTAGTTAGCAGTCAGATGCCTTAGGCGCTATGCCCCCAGAGCTCCTGAATTCCCCTCTAGGGATTCCATTTCTACCCCATTCATCTCTGAAATGCCCAAGGAACAACAACAGTGACAAAAAGACACAGATTCAATTGAAGAAATTTATTGGTTTCTTTTTTTCTAGGTACATAGATGACATCATTATAGACAAGTTTTGATACATAGGAAAACCCTTCTGTCCGCCTCTCATTTGCTAAATGAATCATCACAAGAATTTTTACATTTTTTTCAAACAGTACACAGCTTTCTTGGGCTGAAGCAATTGCAAGGACATATTGGTACTGGTATATTACAGCTACTTACAATGTTTAAGAACAGCAATGGAGAAAAATAAGTTATTTAAATATTGATTTCATGTACAGAAAGTGCAATGCTGTTAGTTGTTATATAACTTGCTTGACAGTTTCTTGCTTTCTCTATCCATTTAAAATCAAGATAACTTGGACTCAGACTATTAGATTTTTAATTTTCTTTTTCTGAAAAGAATACAGTACACCCATGCGGTGGCGGCCTGGTGAACGACCCCAGCTGCTGCAATTATGAAAGCAAACTCTGCTATGTCAGGAATGGGCTTCCAGTAGACTAGTAATGTCAATCACACCCACAGCTAGGGTCAGGAACAAGCAAGGGCCTGGGAGTAAGGCAAGGCCACGGGCAGACGCCTGCTTCTCGGTTATCTGGGAATGTAGACAGTCGTGGGGGCTGGCAGGCTGCTTTTCCTCGTGGACAGCTTCAGAAGTAAAAATTATACCCAGTGGGTATGTCGCTACCTGAGCCAAACTACCTTTCCAGGCTTATGTGTGCTTTCCGAAACCAATTTCCACTGTTCTGCAAAATTCTGTACCCAATGCAACTGCCAAAGCTACCACCTGTCTACTAACACCTACCAGTGGCCCCAAACCACCAGTCAAATGTCACAAGCAAACATTCAGGCTTTTCTAGGATCCACTGAAAAGCTGGAAGTGAAAGAAGGTCAAACAAACACTAAAGATATAAAAGAAGATTTAAAAAACAATGAAATAAAATAAAAACCGCAAATGTCCCAGATAAGAAAGACCTTTGCACTGAACATTATTCATGGTCCCTGAATTTGATTTTCTATGCAAAGGCAAAGGAGCTCTGGTGGCGTGGTGCCTAAGGCATCTGACTGCTAACCAGAAGGTTGGCGGTTCAAACCCACCACCTGCTCTGCAGAACAATGAGGCAATTTACTTCCGTAAAGATTATAGCCTTGGAAACCCAATGGAGGTTGCTATGAATTGGAACCAACCCAATGGCAGTGGTTTGGGTTATGCAAAGGGAATGATTTACAAAGAAGGGCTTGGGAAATGCGGATACTCAGACCCAGACAGTTCCCCTTCCGGCTATTACCTTCACTTATATGAACATCCTGTACAGAACACAAACGGAAACTCGGGAATGCACATCCGACTCCTTCTTTTCCTTTGTTTCCTCAAATGTGACTCCTGTGGTCTCTTTGCTCAGCTTAGGCAATGAGCAGGATGTCTCAGAATGTGAAGCCGACAGACCGTGAAAGCAGTCTTGCCCATCTCCACCACATCACGTAAACCCTGCTTAAAGGATGTGGTTCCATGACAACCCTGCAGCCAGCTACGTTCCAGGTGGACCATGTTCACAGGCACGTCAGGATCAGAGAGGACTAAAGTCAGCTGGCTTTAACACTTCTGGAGAAGTCTGGCAGCTTCAGCTGTTGACATTTCCACCACATCTTCACCTGGTATCTTATACAAGGTGAACACTGTGGAAGAAACATTATTCAAAAGATGCACACAAAGCATGAAAAGAAATCTATCGCCTGAGCACGTCCTTTTCCTCAGAAAACATGGATCCGGTACATAAAGCAAATACTAGAGATGGCTTTGTGAGGAATGGAATCACTTTTCCTTCTTCCTGAGGGCACTCATTTGTTTTAATGAGGAGATGAAACAATACACAACTTCTGGTCAAGGCCTTGTGTTCAAAGTGTTTCTACTGAAAATGATCACACTTGGGGCTTCAAGCAGTGCTCATGGAAAATCCTTTTGTAAGCCGTGAAAACCTTCCTACTTTGTTGTCTGAAGTTGCCAAGTGCTGGACAATCAGACACTCGACTGAAAGTGGACAGAATATGCTGTCATCAGTAGGAAAAGACACAGATACTACCCAGCTAGTGTGGTTCATGTGGCTTCACGATGGAGCTTTGTTTCAATGAGAAGCAGAAGAAAAGCAGGGTATCAACATCCTAACTGAACACCTCAACTACTGACAAACACCTCAATGACTTCCCTTTTTCAAAGTATCTTTTTTTTTTTTTTGAAAATTCAGTGTTACAGTGACTTTCTGCAGAGGTGACTTGGTGGCTGATGACTAAAGGTGGCGATGGATGCAGCCCAGATTCCAAGTCAAAACTGTAGCACAATGACCAACATGGTAACAAAATTTAACTGATTAAAATGAAAGGTAGGAAGTTACTACACACACCCAGACAGACAGACAGACACACACACACACACACACACCTCAGTGAATTTCAGATTGCTTCTTAATGAATCTAGTTAGTTTCAAAACCGAAAGCCAACATGATATTCGTGCCTGATAAACACCCCTACAAAATAAGCCACATCAGAAGGAAATAATTAGAAAAGCCCACTGTTGCTGAAAACACCCCAAATATACTAGACTGCAGTCTAAGCTGAAGGTGTGGAACTATGGTTACAGGGTTGTGAACACTAGTTAAATAACTGCTCAAGGCTTATGTTAAGGCAAATAAAAGCAGATTGCTACAAAGCAATTATTAACACGTCTCGTTTACCTAAAGGAGAATAGGTTTCTTTTTCTGGTGCAGCCAGATTTTCTTACTTTTGAACAAATGACCATGGTCCATAGTGTACAATGATTCCCAAGTCCGTTGCTTTGGCCTAGCTAACGCCCACCTGGCCTTCGGGCAGCCTGCAGGGTGACGGACCAAAGGGCGAGGGCCAGGCCAGCCCAGCCTGCTCCTCCCGTCCTGCCCGCCCTCTCCCTGCTCACAGACAGACCGGAGGCACAGCATCCGCGGCAAGTGGCATCTTGGTTCTTTTGTGTCCTGAAAATAAAAATAAGTACTTGTCTTTCCTTTGGAGGTTAAGGAGAACCACACTGATTTCCTCAAGGGGGCTTTTCTGGAGAGAGGGTCCTCCGTCCTGTGCCAAGGCTTCATGCTGTGTGTGGCCACACGCTGGGCCTTCCTTCTAGGTCTGGGCTGCACGTCCAGGGGTGGAGGAATTGCATCATAAGCACAGTGAATGGGTGGCTCTTGTCCACGGAGGCCAAGCACAGCCTGGCTACATGGCCTCGGGGCCTGGCGGCAGTTTGAAGAGCCTGGCTGCAGACACCAGCTTGGTTATATGCCTCTCCTCTGTGATGCCGGCCTCCTGAAGGCAAGTGTGGGACAGAGAAGGCACTTGGCTCAGTGTGCTGAACCCCGCTTCTGTGAGGGCGCCAGTGTACATGGGCAGACCGATGGAGATCAGCCAGTCGGACACGGACGACACGCATCCAGGAGAGAGGGGCTTTCTACAGATTTCTGTGAGACCGTCACTTGGAATCTGGACAGAGAAGACAGGGTTGTAAGGAGTCTACACATGGTACTTCCTTTATGCCTAAGAACATTCCTGGCATCTTTCCTTGCTAGACTATTATCTGAAAGCGAAAATGTTGGCAGATGCCAAAGACTAGGATGAAGAGTTCCTTCTTGCCTGCTTAAAGATGAGACAAATATTGAAGGACAGGTAGGAGTTGTCAGGCAGTGCAAACGGTTAATGCACTTGACTGCTAACTGAGAGGCTGGGGTTCAAGTCTACCTAGACATGCCTCGGAAGAAAGGCCTGGTGATCTACCTCCAAACAAAGCAGCCACTGCAAACCCCACGGAACAGCTCTACTCGTCTGAGTAGAATAGTTCACACAGGGCTGCCAGGAGTCAGCACTGACCTGAGTCCAAATGTGTTTGGTTTTTGGTTTAGGTTCTAGAAGGTATTTGGGATTAGATCAAATGCCAATTATGTGCATAAGCATTGATCTCACTGCACAATCTACAATGAGAGACCCCTATGGTGATTTAAAGTGGCAAACCTGTGCAATAGTGCGGAAAGTAAGGTATCGAGGCTAGGGTTTTCATAAAGCACATTTCCCACTGTACCTTGAATATGCGTTAATGCCCACAGAATTAAACATTTAATCAATATTGTTATAAAGAATTTAATACACAACAAGGTAAGTGTAGCCTAAGGCAGAGAAATGGACATTCACATGCCACTACTTGAAATATTCACCAGTTTATCATACAGTGGTGGCATGTATGCTGCTGTAATGCTGGAACCTAATGCCATGGGTATGTCAGATACCAACAGTCATCTGTGGTAGGCAGGTTTCAGCAGAGCTTCCAGACTCAGACAGGCTAGGAAGACACACCTGGTATCTACTTCTGAAAATTACCTAATGGGTACCCCACTGATCACAACAGAATACTGCTGATGCAGTATTGGGCGAAGAGCCCCTTAGGTTAGCAGGCACTCAAGGTACACAGCGGCTGCAACCATGGACTCAAGGAGGCCACTGATCACGAAGACAGGGCAGGACTAGGCTTGGGGCCACCTGTGAGTGGGCCAACTCAATGGCGAACACCCCAACAACAACCAGAAATATAAACGTTACCCCTTTCAGAAAGGGAATTTGCTCACGTGTATCAAAATCCTTGAAATCTTGCATAGCCTCGATCAAGCAAAATCTCAAGGAATATATCCTTAGAAATTACCATTGGAAGTTTGCAAAGACATATTAACAAGGGTGTTCTTCATTGTATTGTTTACAAGAAAAAGATGGACATAGCAGACTGGCTGAACTACAGTACATTCATCTACTAGAATACTTTTGATACATTAAAACCAAAACTCAAACCAAACTCAATGCCTTCCAGTAGATTCTGACTCACAGCAACCCCCCAGAGGGTTTTCAGGGCTGTAAATCTTTACAGAAGTAGACTGCCTCATCTTTGTCCCACGGGGCAACTGGTGGGTTTGAATTGCCAACCTTTTAGTTAGCAGCCCGATGCCTTAACCATGGCGCCACCAGAGGTCCTGAAATATTAATACTAGGAATTAATAGGAAAGAATTTCTAAACACAAGAGAACAGATTCATGACCTGATAACTGAAAAGAATCACCTTTCCGAATATCAGGTTTATCATCACTTACATGCACAGAGAAAGGACAAGACAGCCATACAAAATGTTTTTAACTATGCTAGGATTGGGAGCTCTGGTAGCATAGTGGCTAAGACACTTGCCTGCTAACCAGGCAGCTGGCGGTTCAAACCCACCAGCCACTCCTCGGAAGGAAGGTTGGGCAATCCTACTTCCGTAGTGATACTGCCTTGGAAACCCAAGGAGGGGTCGCTATGAATCGGGTTTGACTCGACAGCACATAACAACAACAACATGCTGGGATTATGGATAATTCTGAGTTATTTATTTTCTTTCCAAAATTATATTTTCAAAAATGGCTAGGCTGAACCCTGAAACTACTGCCCTGAGATAATCTTTGAACTTTAAACCAAAAATATCCCCTCAAGTCTTCTTAAAACCAAACAGCAGTTGAGCTTAACTGGTAAAAATGTCTGCCTTGACCCTTACACTCTTTTTGGAACCATCTCTATGAGACCAGAGGAGCTCAGGTAGCATAGTGCCTAAGGCATTTGACTGCTAACCAGAAGGCTGGCAGTGCAAACCCACCAGCCACTCCTCGGAAGGAAGGCTGGGCAATCTACTTCTGTTGTGATACTGCCTTGGAAACCCAAGGAGGGGTCGCTATGAGTTGGATCCGACTCAATGGCAGTGAGTTTGGTCTGGTGTGATAGGAGATCAGAGTGCCAACAGCAACTTGAGTGATTAGACGGGATGCTCAGGGAGCAGTGAGTTTACGAGCAACTCAGAAAGGAAGGTGAGAACAGCTGCACTACTGGACATGCACAAACCGCAGGCCTGGTGTGCGCTGTGCTGTGTATATTCTCAACAACCACAACAACACATTTTAAGAAACTTCTAGGCTGAATATATAGTATCCTCCCCTCTCCAGGCATCTCCTGTCTGGAGCTATGATGAACCCTCGGCTAGTCAGCAGCTGTGAGCATGGGAATCTCACAGCACCATTAACTAGATGTACTTCAGAAAGCTGGCTGCAGGAATATGCAGAGCGTGGGCTGCTCACCGCCATGCGGTGCTGCTTCCGAAGCAGCTTCACGCGGATCTGGTCCATGTTGGTGGCGATGTCCCTCTCGGGGTGACCCATGTCTTCTGCGTATCTCTGTACCAGAGCTTCCGGAATCCCACAGCGTCCGTGCTATGAGGGAAGAGCAGAAATGTGGCATCAAGGGGAGCAAACATCCTTATCCTTTCTCCATGATACATCTAACATATGGCAGAGCAAGGCATTTCCAAATAACAAAAACAAAACCCACCGTGATCGCGTCGACTCTGACTGATGGTGACCCTACAGGACAGAGGAGGCGTGCTCAACAGGGTGTCTGGGACACTAGTCTTTATGGAAGCACAGTGCCTCATCTTTCTCCTCTGGAGTGGCTGGTGGGTTCAAACCACTGCCCTTTTGGTTAGCAGGCATTTAGTTACTGGAAAACGTCACTGAAAGTTTTTATTTGAAATGAATTGATTTTCTTTATTGTCAGAAGGACGTTTTAGAGGAAATACTTTTATGTCTTTACCTTCCAAGTCCTGGTGAGCTCTAGGATGATGCTCTGGAACATAACTGAGGCAGAAAAGAATCATCCTAGATGTTGTGCACCAATGCCCTCCCTCACTCTGCCCGACTACCAATCAGAAGACAGTTCCTCTGATGTTCCTGAAGACTGGTGACTAAGTGGCAGGAGCTAGGGGCAAACTTCTCCATAGTTCTAAAGCTGCATCTATCAGAAGTTAAGCAGCCCCCGGTGGCACAAATGGTTAAGTGCTCAACTAACTGAAAAGTGATGGTTTGAACCAGTGCCTAAGGCACTTGACTGCTAACCAGAAGGCTGGCG